AAAAAAAAAAAAAAAATCTCCACCCCCAAATTTTTAAAAAAAAAAAAAAAAAAAAAAACAGAGATCAGGAATTGGCTGCAAAACTCTGATTTGATGCATCTTCAGTTTACAGCTGACATGACTGTACTTCCTGCCTGAGAACACAAAGTTGCTTGCGTGGATTGGGTTACGTTGCTGTTCGATGTTATGTAACAGTTACTCTTTAACAGACCCAGTCGCTGTTTAACTTTCGTCTGTCGTCTGTGTGTCTCGGCTTTCACCCCGTTTCTCCTCTTTCTACCCACCAGCAGCAGAAGAAGAAGTAGCAGATGTGCTGTGCAGGATGTTCTCTGTTTGACCACGGCCTGCTGCTGAAAGCCCTACATTCATGAGAAGGCAACAGAAAGAAGATTACTGGGGGATTAAACACATGCACACGTGTGCACATGCAAACGCAGTGGGGTACTACGGTTCCGGGATTTAACTTCCATCCAACTGATCTGAATGAACTTCCCTGACTGACTGAGAGACTCCAAAGGCATCATGGAAGAAGAGGAGGAGCCAACAGAGGCTCGCTGAATGTTCTGTCCGCTGACCCCACCTTCTTTCCACCTGTCTCACCATCAAAGGCTCGGAAAGCTTTAAATTGCAAAGCTGACTGTCCCACAATGTCTTGATGCTTAGCAGTAGTATTAGCCTCACCTATTGCTTGCATATTTCTGCCTACCCCTGCCCTGATTTATAAAAAAAAAAAAGACTAGCTGACATTCTCATCTGGGAGATACAGAGAAAACTTCATTTTTAAAAAATCCTGCAGCCATAGCAGAAACCCCCCCCCAAAACATCAAGTGTCAAGAGGAAGATGCTGAAGAGAAAGTGATATTTTTAAACCTTTGCTGTGGATACCTTACCACCACCACAGGCTTACACATGAGACTCAAGGATGACTGACAAAACCACACCTTTGATTCCTTTAAGTTCAGAGGTTCTGTTTTTAGCTCAAGCTCTTCTTGTTTTGGATCGGATCAACGACAACAAAGAAATATTCCCATTGCTTTGTTGTTTATGCTAAGATGAGTAGCAGATCTGATGTGAGAATTGCTGCAAGGAGATAAAGATATGTCTTATTTTTGCTGCAGCACATCTCTTTTCATGAGGATGTAAACCAGATGTGGCTTTTCCAAAATATTTTGGAGTATACGAGGCCTTAACAGCAGGAAATACATTTGCACGCTGAGGTTCCTAAAGAAAGTGCAGATGACGATTCACCAGCAAAATGTAACATCTTCTGCATAAAACAAGAGCAAACCTATCCCCTCAATCTGAGCTGCAATGGCCAGCCAGGCCACCCCTATGTTTCTCCACGGCTTCGAACTCAGCGGTCATTTTGTTGACCCTCGACCTCTTGGCACCGGTGTCACCGGGCTGGTGCTGTCTGCTGTCGACCAGCGCACTGGACAGCGAGTAGCTATTAAAAAGTTGTCGATGCGAGACGCAATCACAGTGAAGCATGCTCTGCGGGAGGTGAAAATCACCCAACGACTGCACCATGAGAACGTAGTGAGTGTCCATGAGGTCTTAGCGCCATACGGATGGCCGCTGCCCCAGGACCCATCCCAGCTGAGTGCCATATACATCATCCAGGAGTGCATGGAGACCGATCTGGCCCGGTTACTGGACCAGGGACCACTACCTACAAGTAAGAGAGAACGCTCAATTGTTTATTTAATTAACGGGTTTAATGAAAATAAGTAATCTGAGAGAAGGAGACTGAGTTTGCCTAATAAGCATGAGAAAAAAAAAATGGATTCAAGCAATACTATGATGTAAAAACATTTTTATTTAAAATTTAAAAACAAATTGCAACAGTTAATTCTACGTCTGTTAAAAAGCTGCTGACTATTACTACTAGATTGGTTTTATAATATGTACTATTTTGATTTTGAAACTTTTGCTAAACCTTTGGTTACATTTCAATGACCAGCAGAGGTAACAACTTTTATTGATGAAGAACTTTAATAATAAAGTAGAGGTGTGGTAACATAACACTTGTTTATTAATTTTGTTGTTTGTACAAATTAAAACAAGAAAATTTGTATGTTTTGTCCATCGTAGAATAAAATAAAGGCTCGTCTAACAGAGGGTTTTCTGCTAAATCTGTCACCATGGTAGATGCTCATCCTGTGCATATTAAACTAGTTGGGATCAGGCTCCCATATGTGCTTGCTCTTTATAAAGAGCAAGCACATGATGATTTGTGAAAGTCAAATGGTCTCATCTCCTGTTCCCTTTTGTGTGTTCATTCATGCCTTTCCCATTAACAGACCTTTTAAAACCCATATGGGTAGTCCACCTGGGTTCAGTGGTGTAGAAGCTAATGTGTTAATTTAAGTGACAAATTTAATGTGGATTTTAACCCTTGGTCAACAAGAACCCATGATACTTAGTACAAGCTATGTAAAACCTAAGTGACAAAATACAGGAGTTATACATGGCAGCCAATGATGTGTCAGATAAATTCTCAGGTTGTACCATCAGACATGATAAAAAGATGTGGAACTGACCTTCAAATAAGTTGTTTAGCCTGCAGGTGTTTTCTTCAGTGACAACTATACAAATTTCTTCATCCATACCTGGGTTGTTTTGAGAGGTTTTGGGGGTTTGATTTATTAATTCTAGTTTCATTATTATTATTTGTTCCTTAGTCTCTTTATTTGATTAGATCAGCCTTATTTCTGTTTTACTTTAGTTCAGTCCTTCCTTAGTGATTCTAGTTTTTTATGATTATTTCTTGTGTCTAGTTATTCTTTGTTAGTCTTAGGTTTAGATATTTTTTAATGTTAGATTAATTTTCATAGGTCCCCTGCTGTGTACTTTCCCTCGCCCTCTGTGCCATTCTCTCTCTCTCTCTCTCTCTCTCTCTCTCTCTCTCTCTCTCTCTCTCTCTCTCTCATCAGCCTGTCTTTGGCTCTCTCCCATCACACCTACAACCTGTTTGTCAATCAGCCAGGTCTATTGTTCCAGCATTCACACTCCCAGTATTTAAGCACCTCTTCTCCTCTCACCCTTCACTGGTTCCTCCCTGTCATCTCCTTGCTATCTTTTTCCCCATGGGTCCCTGTTTTTTGTTTGCTTTGGCTCCCTGTGATATTTTAAAAGTTATGTTCATCTTTTTTTTATTTTTATTTATTAAAGCTTCAAAAACTACTCTCCGTCTTTACCTCTCAACATTTGTGTCCTCTTCAATCTACACACCATGACACATTTATTCTATAGGATTTACACTGATGCATAAAGCACACAGATATATAATTCCATAATTTAGCTTTGAATGGGTTATATGGATCATGTTCAGATAAATGCATCCACAAAAGGTGATATGTAAAGAAATCAGTCTAATTTAAAAAGTGGAAATTATCTACCTTAGTTTTAGATGCTGTGTGTTAAATTATCTAACTTTTATCGTTAAACAGGTCATGCCACCCTGCTGTTTTATCAGCTGCTGAGGGGCCTAAAGTTCATCCACTCAGCCAACGTCCTCCACCGAGACCTGAAGCCTGCCAACATCTTCATCAACACAGACCAAATGCTGCTCAAGATCGGAGACTTTGGACTTGCCAGAATAGTGGACCCCCATTATTCTCATAAGGTGAGTGTTAAACAAGCAAAGAGTCCCACTCCCACACATTCTGATACAAGGGTTTACTTGTAGCTGGGGCCTCTGAGATGTTTCCAAATACCTTGTAGATCTTTGTATTTCTATGCTTCACTATGTAAGATGGAAATTTATAATTGTATCTCTAAAACGAGGCAGCTGTTGCTCCGGAGGAAAAACAGACATTTACCAGTTTAGACGTTGTTAGCATTACTTTATCTTTGCCTCCACATATTGAACTGCCCTCTAATAAGAGGACAGTGTCCCAGATTTACATATTATTGTGTTTCTTGTGTGTGGCTGAAGGGTAAAGCACAACTAAATGTAGCCCTTTTACCATTTAGTTTTACCTATAGTTGGATAGCATTCGATGGATGTTGGTTTGTTCAGATCAAAATATCACATACTTACTTTAAAAGGAATGCAAGTGCAGGTCAGATAGAAAATGATAGGTTTGGGTGCCAGAAAATGCTTGTAATCATCTTGCTTTTAGCTCTTTTTGAATCTTGTGGAATAATTATGTAAATCAACCATCTCTACATGGATGAAACGAGAACATCAAAACGTTGGATCTTTGTACTACCTCCTTTGAATGTGTAATGTTTTGAAGTGTTATATTTATATCATTCCTGTTACAAAATAGTTTATTATATTAATATTCAAGTCAGTAGATTTAAGGATTGTTTTGTATTCTCATTGCTTTTATGCTCTCTGCAGCCGCTGAATAAATCAAAAGAGAAAATTGTAATACTTGTGCATGTTATCTCTTCACTTCATTTAGATTGGGTTGCTATCAAGAAACTGACAATAACTCCTCTGGGGCTGTGCAATTTTTAGACAGGGTCATATTAATATTTTTCTCTATGTAGCAGTGTGTAAACGGCACTACGTTTGTGGTTGCACAGACATTCTATCCTCCTCATAACTCTCTAACAACATAAACTTTGCAGTACGTTGCAAAGATTGACACAAATAAAGTTGTTGTTAGTAGAAAACCTTTAGGTGAAGGATCTATTGTTGGACAAACTTCAGTTGAAACTGTCAAGTATCAGTATGTAAGTCTTCAGGGCTTGTTTGCCAATGAGAACTCCTGACCCAGGACAGGAGGACTTTTAGGGACAGGAGGACTGTCCCTAAAAGTCCTCCTTTTAGGGACAGGAGGACTTTTAGGGACAGGAGGACTGTCCCTAAAAGTCCTCCTTTTAGGGACAGGAGGACTTTTTATGTTCTGTGATTTTCTGTGGCTGTGGAGTTAAAAACACAGCCACAGCCTACGAGTCTGTGAAGAAGGACATTCGGCTGTTGCCGAGGAGGTTCGCTTTACCATTTCTTGACTTAGAAAATGATGGATGGATGTTTTTGAACAGAATGGAAACTGCTCACAAACCTGAATACGCTGTTCCCATGGTGAAAAAGGGTGGGCTTATCTTCTGGGAACATGAGTCAGAGCAAGGATGGAAAAGTTTAGATCAAAGTATATTCGTGTGTCAGTTTGGCCCAGTCAAAGTTCAGAAAATTGAAGTTAACAAACACTGTCCCTCTAATCTCACTGAATCTGAACTTTTGCAAAGCATAAATGACACAAATCTGGCTGTAAACAGACAACATAGGGCAACTTCATATTTCTGCAAAGTACTGAATGAAACTCATTGTTCTCTTTAGTCTAGTGGTATCAAGATGTCACTGCATTGATTCTGCCTTTTAGAAGGACAAAGACTTTGAGCTCAGTCATCATTTCCAGAATACTTTTCGTATCAAATGATGTGCAGGCAAAGCTGTATTATTTACTGGCACAATTATTTCTGCTCTCTCAGATTACTTATCTCTAAGTCCTTCAAATGAAGCTTCCTCTTATGCCCAAACCCAACTCCTACTCCAGAGATGGTGTCAAGTTTTGCGCTAATCAAGCTCTGTAATTAGGCTGTCAGCTGTACATAAAAAACGCCTGAAAGATTAATGGGACAATTCACAACTCCGTTGTCCAGCTTTGTTATGTTCAAAGGTCCCACAGCAGTACTGTAACACTAGCAAGCATGCATTTGTGTCCGTTTTGTGTCTCTGCGAGGTTTGATTCGGGCCTGTGCGTGTGAGGAGGTGCTCTCCTGAAAGGAAATCTTTGTCAACTGAGGGCTCGGGACTTTGGGATCAGTTGGGTGCAGACACAGGGGTGCATTGGGAGAGCGAGGAGGGAGAGGATGGAGGGGGCAGCAGAGGAGGAAGGTATGCTGAGTACACGAGAAGCAAGGATGGGAAATTTTAAACCAGAGAGGGTTGGGGAGAAGGGAGGTGAAAAGTGCAGAAGCAGAGGGGGAACAAATCCTTCAACATAAACAAACAGGACAATGGAAAAGGCTAAAAAAAAAACACTCAAACAGAGAGAAAAATTGATTGAAATTCAATTTATTTGGTTATACAAGGGAGTAGAAACAAGGTTCCTTCTGTTCTACTGCATGTTTTGTTAGAAAACAGTCTGTTTAGGCAGCTAACATGGAGGACAGATATAAGAAGCAGATGAATTGGGATCCTGTTTACATCCTACACTGTAAAGAACTTGGTGCTTCTGTGAAGGTGGGTGTGTTAATGTCACACGCTGAGTGAGTGTTTCAGATGCCCAGAAACTGATCATAACCAGAATGAAAGACAGAAAGTTGGGAAAAAGTCTAAATAAATAAAAAGCAGTTTTTCACATGTGGGGTGTGAGACAGCAGCCGAAGAAGATACAGGTGAGGAAGGAAGTAAAGCTGTAAAAAAAAAACAACAACAGTGAGACTCTGTTGAATGTGAAGACAAAGAGGAAGAACTGAGAAAACAGTCGCAGCAAATCAAATGAGAGGAAAGTAGGAGGTGAAGGAGAGAAGATGAAGAAAGGTTTATGTTACCGAGTAGCTGTGAGGCACAGTCTGAGCAGCGTTTTAAACAGTCCGTGCATAAAAGATGATTACACTTTAAACACAGGAAACAGTGATTTCACAAAAGCATTGTAACGTTTTATGTGACATATCAAGGCAAAAATATTATATAGGTGTGTTGCAGAAGGAAACAGATACATGTAATTTTTAATAGATGGAAATCTTTATATTTATTCCTCTTTATTCCGATACCCATTGATGAAGTGTGGCGCAAAAAAATGTATAAGGGACACACAGCACACATATAGAAGTAGATGCTCTGGTCAGATAGGACTGATATGAAACTTCAGGTCGAACTGCAAATGCTTGAAAACTAAAACTTTCTCATAGCATCCTGCTTTGGGCAGGGACAGATGTCTAGTCAGAGTTGATGAGAAAATTGATGGAGCTCAGGAAAAGCTCCATCAAAATATTTCTTGTGAGAAATATTTTTAGAGGTTGGAAAAAATCTGAGACTCTGGTTCACCTTTCAGCAGGACAATGACCATACGCATACTGACAAAGCTGCAGTGGAACGGTGTTCATCTGTTGGAATCTCCCCATTAAAGTCTGAACCTAAATCTAATTGTAAATATATAGCAATACCTCTCTGGCTCAGCTTATGCTGCTGTGTAAAGAATAGGTTTCTAAATTGAAAGGTTGTCCTGTAGAGTTTCAAAAACTAAGTAAATGTGCACATCACAGTTTTCAAAAATTTATTCTTGAAGTATACACCAAATTTAGCTGTATTCTGAAATAATGTGAAAACTATGAATATAAAAAAACAGTGTTTTACTAACTTTGAATATGATCACCTTTATTCATTTTAGTATCTCCTTAAAATTTACAACATTTAGTCTATGCCTGACAGGAAGCAGCAGTGAGAGCTCAGATAAAGACGGAGATCAACACAGGGGGTTGAGAAAGGCAAGGTCAAAGAGTCCTCAGTTTGGTTATCTGCTACAGCAAAGACAAGAACAGACAGGAGGGAGGGGAAAGACAGGAGAAAAGGGATGTGAAGTAGAGACAGAATAATAATAGGAATAATTGGACTAGTGTACCAGAGGGGAAAAATTGAAGGATTAAAGGTGGCACAAGAGAAAATGGTGCTAAAAGAGAGCAGTAAGATGTGATAGGCAAATAAAAGACCTGTCAAAAATACCTGTAGTTACTTATTTACAGCTGTTAAGTTGTGCTGTACGACTGGGAAAGGAAGATTTAACACCAGTGTCTCTGTAAGATTTACTTTCATACAGAGAGAAGCTGGCCTGGAAAACCTTGCAGAACAACTTTGAGTCAGGCTGAGTTGTGTAGAGTTTCCCCGCTGAGACAGAGATACGAGTAAAGGTTAGGGAACCGTGTGAGTGACCTACAATGAATGGCTTATAATTAACTGCTCATTTGACAAATACATTTTGAAAAACAGTTTCTTTTTTATTTACAACTGGAAAAACCCAACATATCCATGAAAAGTGTGTAGAACATGTTTAGAAACATGTTTAGACTCTGAAATTAAAAAGGGCCTCTTAGGTGTATTTTTTCAAGAAAACTGATGTAACTGATGAGGTTTAGTTAACTGATCTCCATGCTATCACTAAAATACTTCACCATGAAGAATACAACAAACAAACCCTGCATTTAAAAAAAAAAGAAATCCTTAATTCTTACTAAGAATGATTAAATATTTTGCTTTCATAATGAAAACTGGTCCATTATGAAATGGTCCATTCATTTGAGTAGAATATTGTCAGAGTTGATGATGTTGATCCATATAAAAATGTTTTGAAAATTGGCTCTCTGTTGCTGCTTTAAAATTTTCCACAACGAATTCTTCCCTGACATCTCCGTCTTCCTTCATGATGCTGTTTTTTTTCTGAGGTTTTCTAACAAACCTCTGAGACTTTGAGAGAACAGCTGGATTTACACTGAGTGTAAATCACACACAGATGGACTCTATTTACTAATAAATAATAAGGGGCATTTGATGTAGGGGTATCAGAGTAAAAGGGTCTGGTTACAAAATCGCTCCACACTGTTCAGTTTTTCAGACTTTGAAAGCTTTCCTTCTACATCGTATTCATAATTTTACCCTGTTTTGTGTTGTCACATAATCAGTTATGAAGTTTGTTGTTGCACTGTTGGAAAATGTTGGAAATGCTTAAATTCAGTGTATTTATATTCTACTGTTGTACAGCTCAAACTTCTTTATTTCTCTCTCTGCTCCATTTTGGTCCAACTCCTCCCATAAGGGCTATCTGTCTGAGGGTTTGGTGACGAAGTGGTACCGTTCCCCCCGTTTGCTCCTGTCCCCCAACAATTACACGAAGGCCATAGACATGTGGGCTGCTGGCTGCATACTGGCTGAGATGCTCACTGGACGCATGCTGTTTGCAGGTACTGTGATGAAATCTTTATCAAAGGGCTGTTGTGATTCCAGTAAAACAAAAATACAGACAAAGTTGTTGGATGCACCACTAATAATTTAACAGAATCATATTCATGAATGAATTTGGACTCCTTTATAACTAGTCTCTAGCTTCCTTCCATTTTTTTTTTTTTTTTTTTTTTTTAGATTTTATCATAGTTTTGGTGGCTTCCACAGACAGGAGCTATTTTTTTTATTTTCTGTCCTCCACCAAAGACACTTCTCTCCCTCCTTGTGGGCTGCTTCTTTGCCTGAGCAGAATAACAATGATAATGGAGAAATGCTGTCTGTCTGAAGCAGACGAAGTTCCAGCTGACCAGCTGATTCTGACCTCCACTGGCTCCTCTGCGCCACAGGGCCGACCACAGAAACTCAAAAAGGTCATCCTCCTTCCCCCGCTGTTCGTGTTATGTGAGACTTTCACACATCAGGTGTCGGAGCCGTTTGCCGCAACTTTCTCCTAAGAAGCACAAGAGCAGTGGACTCGCTAGGTTTTTGTTTATGGGGTAGGGGGGCGAGGGGGGTTAAATGAGGCACCCACATCCAAACATACTGCTTACTTCCATCCAACAGTGTTTGTGTAGCACCACCTGCTGTTGTCCTTGAAGTATTTGTATTTCAAGTTCAGACATTTTTGTTGCTACACAAAACATTGGCTCTGTCTCCGACTCAGTGATCAGGACCACGTGATTCGACAAACAAGCTTGGAACATTAAAAATCTATAGAATATAGAGTTAGAGTAGTAAAATCTCCTAGCAGCTTGCTACAAAGTGCTGCAGCCTGTCTGCTTCGTTTAGATCGAATCGTCTCCTGTCTCCTGTCGGCTCACACCTCTGGGTTATTCTCGTTTGACTTTATGTTTTTTTTATTGTTTTTTTTTTTTATGCTTATGTAACCAAGCCTTTTTCTCCTTTCTGCCTCTCTCTGATTGGCTCTCTCTCCCTCCCAGGAGCTCACGAGCTGGAGCAGATGCAGCTGATTCTCGACACAGTGCCCGTACTGAGAGAGGAGGACAGGCAGGATCTCCTACAGGTGACACCTCAGAGGGCAACTCGAACCACAAAACTGCAATCTGACATTTGTGAATGTCTGCAAACACAACACCTCTGAGGGCATTTTGGACCAATTTATAGTCCTTTCTAAAGAAGCAAAGATTAAAAGCAGTTCAAACTTGTATGTCACAGCTGAACTTTTGAGATCTTCCTATATCCACATCTGGAGTAATATCAAAGTTAATTAATTCCACATCCCAGTCCCACAGAGAGATTTTTTTTTTTTAAATCTGCCCATACATTTTTTTAGTAGTTCTGCGCTGATGTTGTTTCATCTGCTGGATATTCAAGAAGCAGAAAAGAAATGGCTTCATTCTAGACTGAGAAGAACCAGAAACTAACTCTAAAGCTCTTTTTTTAGGTGATGCCTTCATATGTCAGTCATGGATGGAGAATCAAGAAACCTTTCTCTGAGCTGCTGCCTGAAGTGGATCCTTGGGGTGAGTGGAGTTTAATTGAGAACTGAGTACAAAAAGGCAGAGAAGCAGTAAAATATGCAGCATTGTTTCCATTTTTTGATACTCGTGAATTTTATTTTTTTTACAAAATGGCTTTTATTACTTTTGCTTAAAAAATAAAAAAAACAACAACAACAACAAAAAAACACTACATAGGATTTCCCCCCTTGGAATAGATAGACTTAGACAGAAGGTTTGATTTAAATGTTTTTTACTTAAATTAATAATTAATCTCGAGACAGACAGAGGAATGCAGTATTACCTGTTATTTCTCCTTCACCAGTTTCTCCCTGTTTTTCCTCTCAGCGGTGGATTTTCTCGAGCGCATCTTGACATTTAACCCCATGGACCGTTTGACAGCAGAAGAAGCTCTGTCCCACCCTTTCCTTCAGCAGTACTCCTGTCCTGAGGATGAGCCTGTCTCCTCGCACCCTTTCCACATTGAGGACGAGCTGGACAGCCTCATCACCGAGCAGAGCTTGAGCAGCAGCGACAGTCAGGCCTCCAGCTTTCACTGGGAAAGGTAAAGATTTAAATTTTCACGAGGGAGAACATTCATGCTATTGTCATGCTATGAAGAGACTAATGAATTTGATCAAGTCTGTTGAATTTCTATTTATTTTTTTAAAAACCAACTCATGGAAATGTGGAAGCTCACATTTAATTTTTTATGTTTTGCTTAAGAGGAGCAAGAGATAAATAAAATCGTCTTCTGAAATTGTTTACAAGAGGAAAAAGGGTATGCATTATAAACTAGTGCAACGTCTTTTCCTGATCTTGAGTATTGGTATATTTGCTGTAGAAAAGAGCCTTCTGTGATTCCATAAATGTGAATGGAAGAAAAAAGAATGTCATGTTGGCTTGTGGGTGTATTCAACAGTGGGTGTGTACTGTTCCTGATAATCTTCAGATGAACATTTTATGTTCTTTTTTTTCTTTCTTTTTTTACAATACACGGGAAAAAAAATGACTGTAATTCATCCAGATTTACAAGTGACATAATGAATCTGTGTTCAACTGTTCATGACTTTAGTCTGAGCTTGTAAATGTTCTTGGGAACTGCCATAACAAGTAAAACACTAAAACATGCACTAAAACAAGTAACGAGAATATTTCTAAGCAAGTGTCGATTATCGTTAGATTGAATAAAAAAAATATCTCTTGCCTGCAGGTTCGACAACAGTTTATCAACCAACATATGGGCACCATACTCAGGCGAGAGGTGTCGGTGTTTGCCCTCTGGTCCTGTTCCAGCTGACCTGGGAGACACCATAGATAACGAAGAGGTGCAGCGGGACCCCAGGGCCATTTCCAGCTCTCTGACAGAAGAGGCGCAGGTTGGATGTGCTATTTGCCGACTTCTTCACTTATTTATACTCTCCTCACTTAATCAGCAACGGATTTGCTGGTAATGGTTTTTTGGGCTCATGCGTTTGTTCGTGAAACAGAAAACAGTTTATACGTGTCTCTTTAAAAAGCAGATTTTTGTTCATAAAAAGAAATGTTATAAACCATGTATCACTTTCATTCTACTATGCAACTGTCTGTTACCTTGTGTTGGTCTGTCACATGAAAAATCAGCAAAATGCTATAACGTTTGTGGTCATACAATGACAAAGCGTATGATTACTTAGGGAAGGCAGAAAGAGTTTTTTCTAAAGGATTGACCTGATTTTTATCTCTCTTCTCTTCACCCACCTTATCACAGGTTGACCCCCGCAAATATTCCCATAGCAGTTCAGCTGAGCGTTTCCTGGAGAGCTCTCACTCGTCTCTGGAGCGCGTCTGTGCTTTAGGATACGGGGAGCTTGACTGCGGTCGCTCCTGCGATTACAAAGTGGGCTCTCCTTCATATCTGGATAAAATTGCATGGCGAGAGGGAAAGCCCCAGCACTACTCGGAGCCTAAGCTGATTCTGGATCTGTCTCACTGGAAGCGTAACACTGGCAGACTCCCCGCGCCTGCCGAGCCCATTGGTGGCAGCATGGAGGACCTGGGAGAGGTGAGGGTGGAGGAAGCAGAGGAAGCAGAGGAGGAAACCGGGGATTTGTTCCAGGAAATCACTCGCTGGGTGGAGAGTGCTCATTCTCGTCTGCACTCGCCCAGTACCAGTCCATTAATGGACCACTGCTCACCCTCCTGCTACACCTCCTCTCCCCCTCTTCCGCTGTCTCCCACGGACCTCCCAGCTCCTGTCTTCCACTACAACGAACATATCCGCCCTCCATCAGTTGACTATGACGAGGACAGACTGAGCCCGCTTCCTTCCAGCACATCTTCCTCCAATACCCTCCCCTTTCTCTTCCCATCGTCGCCCACGGCTATATTTTCACCTCAAACAGCATCGCCACCACCTACTCCACTTGTGCAGCTCCCAGCATCTCAACCGCTGTCCTCTACCTCCTCTGTATCTCAGTCCCCTAATGCAGACTCCACAGAATCTCTGCCAGTCAAGCAAAAAGAGCGCTTGTTTGACCTTGATGTGTTCATATCCCGAGCTCTGAAGCTGGTCCGGCAGAATAAAGAGAAAGTTCATGTGAAGAAAGGAAAAGATGAAGGCTGGATGGAGGAGAGCAAAACAGCGAGCATTAAAGGAAAGGTGCCCCGGCTTTCAGAGCACAGGACTTCCCCATCACAGACTCCCAACTCCTAATCTCAGTTCCAGAGTTAGCACAAAATAACTATAAAATTAGTCACACTTCAAAATATACTGCAAATGAGGGATGTTCTGCATTCTACAGTAGCAGCTTGTCTTTTTAGCACTAAAATGGCTTCAAGACAAAACCTTCAGTTTAAAAACAGCAGTTGTGCAGCTTTGGTTCTCAGGCAATAAAAGCTAAGAAGAAACTTGAGTAAAATATAAATCAACACACTCGGCTCTAATAAATACTAAACATTTACTCGATGTGAGTAGTTCTGCTTTATGCCTGTACCAACAGGTAGTAAAGCTAACTATCAATCGTTCAAAACTTGATGATCGCTAATGATGCTTTGTCTTTGTACTAAAACTTGGGTTTAATGAGTTCCCAGTTGGAAATACAACACAAATGTTCCCTGAAGTCATATCTCCTGTCAGTAAAGTGAAAGGTCTCTTGGTGTGTTTGTTTTTGGAAGTCAAAGCTCCGATCTGAGAACAACTTCACACACGAGTCTGATAAAGAATAATGTTCCCTAAAATTAGAATTATGACTAAGAAGGTCAGAGGTCTCCTGTTAAATTTTCTCTCACGTTGACACTCTGATGAGAAAATGACACTGCACCTGAGTTTTGTACATTCCATTGGTGTGTTCTCTTATCGATAGGAAGTTGGATTTTCCGAATTCCCAGTTGAAATGCAACGAGAATATCAAAATTCTAACTGTGAAACTGTTAGAGAATATGTAAGCGTAGTGCTTTAATGCAAAACATGAAAACCAAAAACATATCAGTTGTAGTTAGCCCCAAAGACAAACAGCCAGTCACACCAGTTTTCTGACTTAAGGCTACAACTCTCTCAAATTAAGACTCAGATCTCCAAGACAAACTGAGAGCAACATATTAGCAAATTAGAAAATTTGTGAGGTTTGCTAACTGTTTTAGTTCTATACCGCTGTCACAACTTAAAGGTAATAAAATGACTGCCATGTTGGATGCTCTCTTTGTCTCCCTCTCTCTCTTCCAGTTAGATACTGAACTCTGGGATGTTTGGAGAATTACAACTTACCCAGTCAGAATTTTGCCTCCAGTGGTTGTTGTTGTATATCCCACTGGGAATTCTGGGAAATCTGAATTTAGAGTACAAAAACAAGTCACAATCTGAACAGCCTCGAGTTCAGTCTTCATTATAGCCGCTGTATATATAAAACAGTGAAGGTTGCAGGAATCAGCTATTAACGCTTCTGTCCGCTTGTGTCTAATGAAACCTGTGACACACATGCTAATGCACAACCTCTGATTTTGAATATGCTCCTTTGCTATTTAAATTGTAACCAGCTTGTGGGGATGTGACGTAGTGCCAAGGTTCAAGAATCCAACTTAATCCAATGCACGAAATACACGTCACAAAAAATTCGTCACTGATAACAGCACTCTTAGACTCTTATTATGTGCTTAAAACATGCTGTAATTATCTTTCTAAACTCCATCCTGTTAACTCTTGAAAGAATCTGTCAGTCTTCCAACAACATTTACCAAATGACGACAATAAGTGACGCAGTAAAAGCTTTTTCTAAGCGTTTGAATGTATTAACTAAGAAGAAACCAGACAGAGTGTGGCGTGATCAACTGTTAGTTTTATTTATTGCTGCTTTTACACTCCCCCAATGAGTTACTAAGTTTTAACAATGGAATCTTGTATAAAGTTATGTTCATATTGGATTTTCAAGAACATGTAATATATCACTAGACATTTTTGTGGCTAAAATAGTTCTGCAATATTTTCTAAATATTAGAAAGTATGATCTTTTTAATGATTTTGGAGTTAGCTGGGATTTTGTTTGAATTTGTAGTGAGCTAATCTATGGTAGTGCTTTATGATTCTTCTGCCAGCTGGACTCATTTTTAAACACATGTAATTTGTTTCCTGCCTGATGTACCAAATCTGTTCCACAATGAAAACAGTTTTCTTCCACGGCTACGGGCCTAAATACCTTCTGCTCACTTCAATATTAGCAACAAAAAGCTGTAGCATGTATAACGATTATCTATAATTTGGGAAATGTAGAGTCTGCCAAGTAGCTCTATTTATAATGTACATTTTTTTTCTGAACTCTTTTATATATTTATTAGGTTGTTACTGTAGATGCTTCTGTTTTGTTCACTTTTTTAATGGTATTTTGGCTCTTTTATTTCTCTCAGCCAAGTCAACCATACTGGAAAACACACAGCACCCTGCACACTTACTGGCAACCCCCTAAAAATAATATATATTTTTTTTCTAAATCAAGTAATATTGATTTTTGTTTCAGCTATAATTTTACAATAGGATATCTTAATATGTGTGGTGCCAATAATTGTGGAGGGTGGTGCTGCTGAGATGTGCTGTATGGCTGTTGGAAAAAGCCAGCTAAGTTCAGTTCATTTTTCATATGTCCTCGGTCAACGGTTGTAACAATTTGAAACACAATGCCTTGCTGTGAAGTTATCGTTATGTGTATGCAGAGTGTAGTTGCACCTGTCCTGGAGTAACCCTGTAGAAAGTACCAGAGGTAAAACTCTGAGATCAAAATACACTGCCAGCAATACTGCAAAACAAGCATGTTTAGTCATATGTTTGTCTTTCACTGAATGACCATGATATAAACCACAGTGATATTGCTATCAAGCATTGAGTTTCATATCAATCTGCTCATTTTATGCACACTGTAACCTGCAGGTAGTCAAGTATTTCCAAAGGATACTAACACAAGATATACTCTCAGTACAACCCAGAGAAACAGCAGTCATATCACATATTTCTGTTGTTAAATTTACAGTAAAGCACACGTGGAATATGAAGCACATTAACAAAGGCAGCATTTGGTCACCATCAACATTACGACTCTGTATTGTCTTCTTTTGTCAGCGATGTACCTCTCAATAAGAACAAAAACCTTGACATATTTAGAGCACTCAAAGAAAGTAAAAACTGATCCAGTAATAGATAAGTTGGTCTACAGTCTGACTTTTACCACGTCTTATAATCTACATTTGTAGCACAGTTTATTTCAGAGGCAACCTAAGCCAGCAATAATGCCATTTATTGAGTGACACAAACACACTGAAACACATGTGGTTACTGAGCCAAAAGTAAAAATCCTTATTCTATCAAGCAATGTTGAAAATGTGCCTCGGTACACCTCGATGCTTCCAGCTTGCTGAATGTAAAATATGCCCTCATCTCTGTATGGCTATGCAGGTAGCTTAATCCATGTCTTAATGGTGTACGTCTCTGAAACAGTAACAAATTATCTGGTTTCTTATTCCATATTTATCATACTTATGCTTCAGGGGGATTTCAGCCTTTCATTTGAGAAAATCTGTGGGAATTTTATTGTATCGGCTTGATAGCATCTCTTTTGAGTGTCAACCTTTGTTGGAAAATTAATAAAAGAATGTTGAAAAAAGATCTGTCTGTCCTAGTGTCTATATAAGCATAGTGTTAATCCCCTGCTGAGCATTGAATTTCCATGTAGGACAGAAAGTTACATTTTGTCACTATATCAAAATGAGGAGTTGATCTCTCTAAAGTTCCACATTCATGCCTATGAAAGTGTCCTGGTGTCATAGGTGAAGTTCTCTGTGAAATGGTTCAATTTGGGCAACATCTTCAGAAAAGAATAAATAAATAAATACATAGCATTGACATATTTCAACGTTGGGGACTTTAAATTGTATCTATAAATATTGCGCATTGATAAGCATAGTTAATTTTGACTGACACGACAAAGTAAATAATGTCATAAAGTAGCAGAGAATTGTATCTTGATAAACATTTGCTATATGTTTGCAAGTAATCACAAACTGCTATTATGATGAACAAAGTACTAGTGTTGTGGAGGTTGAAGCATGTCAGTTTTTTTTTAATTAGAAAAATGCACCAAAGTTTGATAAATATTTTTGCAATCTTACCGTAATAAGGAATGATGCTTCTCTTCTGTCACGCGCGCTACCGTCTCTACGGCAACCAAGAAGGGAACCCCAGCATGTGATTGGATGAGCTGCCAACCTCTTGTGTACAACAGTCCCTCCCCTCTTTTCAGTCATTCAGCTGGCTCCGTCTGTAGCAGTAGCTCTTGTCCAAGGATACTCCAGCCCAGTCCAGGGTGTCAAACCTCGAAAGTTACACCGAAGAAACATGCTGAATAAACATTAGGCTGTCCAACAGAAGGAAAGCGGTATTATCACACCCGAAAGCAGGTAAACCAAGTCGCTGTTGTTAAAGAACAGAAAGCTCCGTGTCACGAACGGAGAACTTCCCGTTTCCGAGACTAAATTAGCGTGCGAGGGGCTTGTTGATGATGGGTAGGATGAGGTCAAGAATTAAAATTCTGCTGTGGTTATGATAATTTGTGCTTGAATGAACAGCAGCAGTTTTAGATATTTCAAAAGTTCATTCTGTGTGTGTTTCTATTGGTGACATTTGGTGTGAAATCTGGAGTGATATCCAAGTATAGACAAGGCTGTTAGTTAGCAAGTTGCTAGCTTGCAGCACCTGTTAACTTCCTGTTTTATTCCCTGAGTTTTTTTTTTTTTTTTTTTTTTAAGATTGGCATATATTTATCTAGTTGTTTTTCCCATGTTCATGTTGATAGTACCGTTATATTTCCACCTCGTCCTCCCACGCTTTCATTTATTACCAGCTACCGATTGCTGAGCGGAAACTTGTGTCTAAGTTTGATTAGTAACTCTTTAAAAAGCGGTGGCAACATAAAATTAGGTGTGAACAGAGCTTCCATTCTTCTGCATTGGTCATTGGAATATTTACATAGTTGGTTTATCCTATATAGCTACACTCCCGTCGATAGAACAATGAAAACATTCTTTAAATACGTTTCTGTTTTAAAAAAGGAGGATGAAGAGAACTATGTCCTTTCATAAAAGCAATAAAATGTAGACATAGGTTACACATTAAGGCACGTGAAGAGGACATTTAGCTTGTTCAGCTAAGCAAAGATGCATCCACTAAAATACACAGATTGCTCTGTTAGTTATGTCTTCATAACTTTTATTAGTACATAATTATTTGGGGTTCCCTTATCTCCAAAAACCAATTAATTGGATGCATGAGGTTTGTCTTATGTGCACTTAATTTATTTCTACTGTACAGCACAACTGATGAAGTCTAAATGCACATCTCCAAGGTGCTGTTTATTGTTCTTCACAATTTTGCAAACAAGCACTTCCAAACTTGTTTCCAAACTGTATTGACCTTTTTCCACTTCATCAAGCATGCAGTCAGATTTGAACAATGTTGCAGAAATACATGTACATGCTATGTAACTAAGAAAATTGTCAATTGTTAGTTATTTGTTTCAAGTTTAAACCTATTTATTGGGTACGTTTGTTACACACCGTGATATATCTCAGGAATTTATTTCTGTTCATTTTGGATTGTGGTTTACAATTTCAGTTTCTGGTAAAGTCATATTAGATATATAACGGATTCAACAAAGTACATAGTATATAGTAGTGTTTTTTTTTAAATATAATCTGTTGAGATTGTTATTTTTAATCAGCCAGAGTTTGATGTCTGGTATGTAGTGTACATTAGCCTAAAATATAAAAAAAAATTCTGTGCTTTGGTTGATTCTTTTTCAACCTTTTTATTGTTGTTGTGTGTCTTCCATTGTTTTCTTCTCAAAAAGGATTATGATAATCTTTGAAAGCTTTGTATTCACCAGGCTCACGCCAAACTGCTTAAAACCAGAATTCAGATTAAAGACACTGAGCATTTGTAATCCTCAGTGGAAGGACTGTCTGCACACACTACAAGCATAACCTGGCTTTGACAGGGATGGTAAATTGATGGTATTAGTTGGAGCTTAATATCATGTCAAGAGAATAGTGGGATCTGCTGACATGTAATTAACAATTAATAAACTAAACAAACCTCAGATTGCTATGGCTGTAGAAGAATGATTATGATGGCATGTGTTTTCTCACAAGCCATATATGCATTGTCAGCCAAAAAGTTTTTGTGTACATTAGAACTGCTGTCATTTGCTGATGATTTTTAGAATTGTTAAAGAAAACAATTATGGATCCATCTGGTAAACATCTGTCTGGTAAACATTGTCCTTTATTAACCCTAGAAAGTTTCCATCAGTGCTCCTTCAAGATCGTTGACAGTCCACCATGTTGTCAAGGTTGAGGACATCCTGGTCCCTGAGGCCCTGCGTCTCCGTTTGCAGATGGGCCCACACCAAAGAGAAGGGAAGACCCCTAATGCTTAATCCTCGCACCAACAAGGTAGACTATGTCTGACTTTGCCTTCAAGTGTCAAGATTTATCCATAAATGTCTAGGTTTACTTTGTGAAACTGCGGTCTGATCTGTACGTGTTGTGAAAACTGCATTGCTCAGCAGGAAACCTGTTCCTTTGTTAGGCCACAGTGCACAAAAGAAGAACTTTAGACCGAAACTGAACACTAGACAAAATAAATGTTGATTATCTAGAAAATGTTCCTCCTTTTTATGGTTTTCATGCATCCATGAAAACCATAATCCATGACCTGGTGCACCTTTGTTCTAAATTATGAGGCAACAGACAAACTAGCTGAGTTTGAGTTTAGTTATTTATTCAGGACTATGCACAGGAACAATAATATCAGAACCTGAAGCAGTTCCCTCACTCTCCTTGAATTTATTTATTTTTCAGATTTCTTCTGATCAGATCCCAATTATTGGAATTCCAGGAAGCTATGTGGTATATAGATAGGAAGGCTCACATCCACAAAGACAGTAATGGAAAAACGAAACAAAAAAGTTGGAGAAAGAATGCAGAAGCACAATTAAGCTCACAATGGATGGTAACAGTAAAACCAGGCAGTAGTGTTAAATTATTCTGGTCTTTGCATCAGTTATGTAGGAGAATATTTACTGACAGAAAGAAGTTTTTTTTAATTGCTCCTATAATAAACAAATATGTGTACAATAGGTGCAGTCTGCACATATTGTACTATTCATATTAAAGACACTCTGCACCTATTGTGCAACAGGTGGTACCAGTCCCTCACATTAGTTGTGTCTGTTTACATTTTGTTTTGGGTTTTAGTTTTTGTAAAAAATAAAATAAAAAACATGTAGCTAAAGTTTACAGACATTACAGATAATGTTGAAATGTACTGGTGTGCGACAATTTGAAAATGGTTCCTTTTAGACAACATTGAGGCTAAAATACAATAAGAATCTCAGTGCTGTAGTTGGACGCCTACAAGAAGTGGAACAGCTGAGATATATCCAGCTTGCTATGAGAGTGCAGCTGTGAACACTCAAGGCTTTTGTCATTTTTATCGTCTTATAAATCAAACCTGTGTAATTTACTGAGAACACCAGGGGCCGTTACTGAGGGAGAAAGCAGGTGCACAGAGTCTGCTTTCCAGGGCAGGATTCAGGCCTCCCTGTACTGTTTCTGTGTGTCCGTGCTCAGTTTCAACCCACTGCCTCTGTAGGTTTAATTTTATATGATTCAATACTCAATTCTGAGTAATGAATTAAGAAATTTGCATATTTTTTCATAGTTTGCTATATCATGACCAAACTATGGAAAAAGATCTAAGGTTTCGCAGTAATGATGTTAATCTAAAACAATACATTAGTGCTGTGATTTCTGAAGCATGGCACCTAAGTGTAGTTACTTATTTGCAAAATAATATACATCTAATAATAACTAAAATTACTCCTGAAAAAACATTTTATTCAATGTTTTTATTGATCACTGCACAGACTGAAACGCTTATTTTTTTAATAGATTTATTAGACATAGACTGGGATATTTGAAGCCAGTATATTTTTTTGTAATTTTGATGATTAGAAGACATGTCACATGTGCCAGAAGGAGGGCAAGCCACAAAACATATTACTAAAGGGTCTGGTTGTTCAGAGTACTGTGACCAAGCATAGAGTGTTCAGTGGAAGGAAAATGTGTGATAGGAAAAGATCCACTAGCTATTGGGAAAACTGCAACCTAGGGAGGTTTTTTGGGCACAGTTCATTTGAGAATTTGAGGAAGCTTCACACAGAGTGGACTGAGGCTTGAGTCGGCACATCAAGAGCCACAAAACAGACAAATCCCACACAGGGACTACGAGGGTCTTACTGAGGAGAAAAAGAACTGGACTGTTGCTCAGTGCCCATTGTCCTCTGTTTAGATGAAAGTGAAGTTTCCATTTTATTTAGAAATTTATGTCTCAGAGTCTGGAGAATGGGTGATGAGGCACAGAAGCCTCACTGCTTGAAGTCCAGTGTGAAGTTTCCATGATCAGTGATGATTTGAGGTGATCTGTTCATGTTGGTCCACCGTGTTTTCTGAAGTTCATGGTCAACGCGATCATCTCGAAGGAAACTTTAGCAAATCTCATGTCTTCTTCTGCTGACAAGCTCTACGCAGATGCTAATTTCATTATCC